TTGGGAACCCCACTGCTGTAAAAGCATCCACTATGTCCTGCACATTGCCCAGAGTCTCAGTCCTTCATAGCAGGAGGCAATTAATGGCCCTGCACATTTGCATCACAATAATCCCAACTCCAAGTTGATTCCTGACTGATCTGTAGCAATTGAGTATTGCAGGTTTCCATAGAGCGATAGTCATTCACTTGCTTCTCCACTATCAGTGCACATCTCATTTTGGTGCGGCTGTGCGAGAAGTCTGGGGCAAGCTCTGCACACAGATCCAGGAATGTGGCCTTGCACATCCAAAAGTTCAGCACACACTGCTCATCATCCCAAAGCTGCATTATGATGTGATCCAGTCAGTGCTTGTTTCTTCAGCCCAGAACCAGTGCTCCACCATCTGCAGCTGCTCCACCATCTGCAGCTGCTCCGTGAATGCTGCCAACAACTTTGAATAGAGTCTATGTCCCACAGCAATCTAGCCTCCAAGGAATTGTCATGTTCCCTGTGGCTCCTCTTGTGGCTCTGCAGGATCAGGTGCCCATGCTCATAACGCTCATCATAATAGTGAAGAGGTGTGCAGGATCCATGTTTCTGACACAGATAGCGCACAGCAAGGAGGGACGTCCGGGTTTGCGGTGATATTTGAAAAAAGGTGCAAAACATTATGGGATACAGATGAAATTATGGAATGGAGAATTATGGAATGGAGAACATTATAGGATGTTGAAATCATGTTCCCAGTCATCCCTGGATGACTCATTTGGCCCCACGAGGCACTGCAAAACCGTACCCAAACACCCTGCGCTAGATAGTGGTGAGTTTCACAGTGAAATAGCTACCCATGATGCACTGCTCGCCGCATCTATGCAAGCGCTGCTAGTGAGGACGCACACAGTCAACACAAGGAGCGTAGTGTAGACATGCAAAATCAATTTAATTATTGCAGCAGCTATATGCCGACATACTTAGGTCAACACAATTTTGTAGTTAGACATGCCCTTAGAGTTGTTATGCAGAAAGACTCTACAAGATTTAGACATAGCCTGGATGTGAGAACCTAGAAAGAAATCAAAGTCAAAGGTGACACCGAGGTTATGGGCCTCAGTGACAGGCAGGAAGGTAGTGTAGTCTGCCGCAATTGAGAAAGGAGGTAGCAGGGAGGATATCGGGTGCAGGGAAAATTTAAAAGCTTGTTTTAGTCATGCTGATCTTGAGCTGATGCTAGATACAGAGGATAGGACAAGAAACAATGGGCTTAAATGGCAGCAAGGGAGGTTTAGGTTGGACATTAGGAAAAAGTTCCTAACTGTCAGGGTGGTTAAGCACTGGAATAATTTGCCTAGGGAGGTTGTGGAACCTCCATCGTTGGAGATTTTTAAGAGAAGGTTAGACCCCTTGTCAGGAATTGTCTAGATAATACTTAGTCCTGCAATGAGTGAAGGGCACTGGAAAAGAGGACCTCTCGAGGTCCCTTCCAGTCCTACGATTCTATGATTCTATATCCATGAGGAGATGTCAGAGAGACAGGCTGAGATTTTAGTTGAACAGATGGAGAGAGGTCCAGAGTAGAGAGGTAGGTCTGTGAGTTATCTGCATAAAGATGGTAGGTGAATTTGTGTTTGTGGCTAAGATTACCCAGAAATAAGGTGTAAAGGATGAAGAGAAATGAACCAAGAACAAAGCCCTGAGGAATCTCAGACAAAGTTGCAGTGTGTGGTGGTGGTGCGGGGGGAGGGGGGGGAGAGAGAGAAGGATCCTCTGAAGGACACACTGAAGGAGTGATTTCAGAGGCAGGAGGAGAACCGGGAAAGGAAAGTCATAGAAGCCAAAGGAGGACAAGAATCCAAGAAGAGCATGACTGACGGTGTTAACATGGCTGACAAATCAAGACAATTAGGATGGAGTGCTGGGTTCTGAGCTTTGGCTAGGAAGAGGTCATTAGGGACTTTGGCAAGAGCAGTTTCAGTTGAGTGAAAAGGACAGAACCAGGATTGGAGAACAGTCTCAGATAAAACTGGAGGAGAGCAACTCCAGACAATGATTGTAAACGGTGCATTCAGTGAACTCAGAGAAGAAAGGGAGAAGAGAGATGGGGCAGTAGTCAAACAGGCAAGCAGGGACAATGGTGTGGATTTTTTTTAAGATGGGAAATACTAAAGCTTGCTTGTATTGTGACAGGGAAGAGCCAGAGGAAAGTAGGAGGTTAATGAGAAGAGTAAGAAAGGGGAGGAGAGTGGATGCAAGAGAGACAGGATGGGATGCCTACAGCATGCAGAGAGGTTAGAAAACATGGGGCCTTGCTCATAATGTTTTCCACTCGTGCTAAAACTGGTAGGTATAAAAAAGCATAACCCAACATCATCTTCCTCTGTTTCATTCTGAAAGGAGATTCAGACGTGATCTCCTCTGCTGCTATGGGAAAAAGGTACAAATAAAAAGGAGGGGAAGAAAGAGAATTAAACCTCTGCTTCTGGTACATATTACCCCTGTGGCTCAACAAAAGAAGCAAAATGAAATTAACAGGAATACAGTCAGTTACACTTGACTGCTGTTTCCCCCAGGCCCTGTTGCAGAAACATTAGAAGTCAAAGCACAGATGCAGGAGAAAAGAAAAAATGCTAAAATGGGATGGATTGTAGGAACAATCAGGGGCTTGAAGAACAAATGTGGAGACTACAGATATCTGGCATACAAAGCACCACTTGGTCCATTACATATCTGCACAAAAAATACTCATAATTATGCAAAGCTGATCAAACTGTTTGCATTAGACTTCCTTTCAGCAAGGTTAACCGTTGTATGGTCTTCCACTATGCCAGTCTTCACTTGTGCAATGTGGACAGAAATTGCTGGTGTAATAACACCAGCCGTGCAAAGAGTCTACTTTCCCACAGTGCACTGATCACTACTTAGGTGGTCTGCCTGCTCTATTTTCTTTATGGCAATACACAGAGTCATGTTTGCAGGAAGCAATGTACTGAACAAGTCATACTGCACACACTGCAGCTCATTTGCATATTATTTCACAGCAATCAACTTCTTTAAGTATCTACTATAAGAAGACTTCTCCCCATGAAGATATTCACAAATCACGATCAAATCATTTCTTAAGCTTCTCTTGGTTAAGCTAAACGGGGTTGAACTTCTTACGATTCTCACTGTAAAGCATGTTTTCCTCAAATCATTCTCATAGCTCTTTTCTGAACCCTTTCCAATTTTTCACCAGCACTGGACACAATATTCCAGGAATTCTCTCACTAATGCTGTTTGAAAAGGTAATACTACCTCTCTTCTACACAATCTTCCCCTGCTTATACATCCAAGGATCATGTTGCCCCTCTTAACCAAAGCATAATACTGTGGGAAGTCACGTTCAGTTGGTTTGCCTACCATGATTTCTAAGTCCTTTTCAGAATCAACGCCTTCCGGAATACAATCCCCTATCCCATAAATGTGATCTATCTTCTTTGTTCCTACATATATGATGTTACATTTGACTGTATATCTACACATGCTGTTCATATGAGACCAGTTTACCAAACAATCCAGATTACTGTGTAAAACTGACCTGTCCTTATTCTTATTTATTACTCCGCTATTTAGTTACTAGCTTCTGTTCTCCAAACTTAACAGAGGGTGATGAAGAGGGCAATCCTTCATCTCCTGCGGCAACCCAAGCTGGTGATCAATCTGTGGCTCACTGGTCAATAGTCTCACTTTGACAACCTACCCATAGTTTGTTAGACCTGAACTTGCAGTTGGCAAACTATGAGTGATCACCTGCTGAGGAGTTACAGAGCTGGAGGCTTTACTGGCATGGGGGGAGAGGGGAAGGTACAAAACAGCAGGAGGCAGAGAATGCAGCCTCACTTAATGATCCATGACTGGATCCAGACCTGAAAAGGTATAGTAGGGGGATCAAGACAAGGGAAGTCCATGGCTGAGCCATTTCTGGGGAGGGGTGCTAAAGATGACAGAGCGAGGAGCAGAGAGGAGACTCAGCCAGTGAAGTAAGGATGTTTGCCAGCCGAGGGAGCTGTCAGGTTGACAGCTGTCAAAGACAGTGTACTGTTAACTCTGACAGCTATTGATTGTGTCAGTGGGAGGCGACCATACTAGCACTCAGTTGATTGAGATGCAATCAGGGTTTTACCTCTACAAATTACAGTGGTAACTCAATGATTGTGGCTGCCCTGATAATCAACTGAAGCATTTGTGTTTGGACACAGCTGTATTTCAATCAATTGAGAGGGAGCAACTGGTGTTTATGCTGAAAGTATGAGTTTAGGAACAGGGACCTCATCTCCTTATACGTCTGGGGCTTGGAAAATGTCCTCACCTACATGCCAGAAAACTTCCCCTGGCAAGCAGGTGAGGGAAGGTACACGTAGCCATAACGGGACACTAAGTGAGAAATGTGGTTTGTTCTTTGTGAGCAGGGCTACAGCTGCCCACCAAGCGTCAGTTACACAGACTCATTCTTTCCACTGGTGGGGGAAGGAGACACTGCCCTTTGCTCCTGGCTCTCTCTTTCCTTCTTGCACCAAGGAGTGAGCTGAGCCTCCCCGCCACTCTGCTGCTTCCTGGGGGTAGCTCTGTGAAGCTTATGCGAATCTGAGCAACTTACCTGCTGCTCAGACAAGGGAGAAGCCCCCGACCCCGCTTCCGTCCCAGCAGCCGCGGGGTGTGCAGAGGGCAGCGCCGCTCGCTTTACTCCCAGCCGCAGGGAAGGGAGCGCCCCAAGCCCATCAGACCGCCAGAGCCAGGGGAGTGAGCAGCGGGGACACATCGCAGCGCTTCTTCTCCCTCAACCCCTGGCGGGGAAGGGCCATGTGGGGATGCCCAGTGCCTGGGGACCCCCCGCGGAGATCATCACAGCGTGGGGCACCCCCGGCCCATCAGCCTCCCCAGCGATACGGACAGAGCCGGCGCTGGCCGGGGTCCCCCAGCGGCGAGGCGGCGCCGCCTGCGCCCAGCCCGGGCTCCCCGCCCCCTCTGCGGCCGACACTGACCTCTCCGCCGGGCCGCGGCCCGAGCCGGCAGCAGGCGGGCGGCGTGTCTGGCTGCGGTAACCAAGGGCGACACGGGCGCCGCCATCTTTCCGGCAGACTCCGTCCTCCCCCCGCCCTTCAAAATAACTTCACTCAGAGGAGGAGAAGCGGACGGAGCCCTCCCCGGCCGGGCCACTGCCGCCGTGCATGACACCGCCCCCTGCGCGCGGCAGAGCCCGAGCTTTGCCCCGCCCGCTCTCCCTCCATTAGGGGCCGAGCCGCGTCGCGCAGGGACTACAAGCCCCAGCATGCAACGCGCCACCTCCGCCCGCCAAGCGATGGGGAGCGATGCGTGCTGGGAAATGTAGTTTGTTCTGGGCTGCAGGAGGAGCGGGGTGAGTGGCTAGGCCGGAGGTGAATCGTGTCCCTGGGAGTTATCGGAAGCCCCCCCGCCCGTGCATTTGCTTGGTTACCCCTAGGAGGCTGGGACTGGTTCAGCTCACGTTGGCTGAGGCTAGGGTGACCAGCTATCCCGATTTTATAGGGACAGTCCTGATTTTGGGGTCTTTTTCTTATATAGGCTCCTATTACCAGGGCCACATTGACTTTTTGTGGGCCCCCCTGGGGAATGATTGTAAAAGCAGCTGGGGGCAAAAGCACATTGGGGCGGGAGCTAGGGTTGGTCCCTGGAGCAAGGGAGGGGCCAGGGGTAAACTGCAAGCACAGCAGGGCTGGGGAGGGGGTAAACAGGATTCCCCCCCACCCATGTAAAGCGGGTACCTACCTGGTTCTAGCCCAGGGGTAGGCAACCTATGGCACGCGTGCTGATTTTCAGTGGCACTCACACTGTCCGGGTCCTGGCCACTGGTCCGGGGGGCTCTGCATTTTAATTTAATTTTCAATGAAGCTTCTTAAACTTTTTAAAAGCCTTATTTACTTTACATACAACAATAGTTTAGTTATATATTATAGGCTTAGAGAAAGAGACCTTCTAAAAACTTTAAAATGTATTACTGGCACGCGAAACCTTAAATTAGAGTGAATAAATGAAGACTCGGCACACCACTTCTGAAAGGTTGCTGACGCCTGTTCTAGCCCATTCTCTTTGTCTCTTTCTGCACTGAGCTGCCCCTCCTCCCGCAGCAGCAGGACAGATTCTCTTCCAGCCCTCTGGAGTGGGTGTTGGGAGTGGGAGGAGCGGAGACTAATGTGGTTACTCCTATAACCGGACATTTAGTTTCCAGTCAACACTGCTAACCGGACACTCAGGTCCCATTTTCTACTGGACTTTCCAGTCTGAAACTGGATACCTGGCAACAGGGCTGCCAGAAAAGCGGGCAGGGGGGGTGGGGTGGGGCGGGGCGGCGGGGGGGAAGGGAGCAAGTGCTGGGTGGGTTAGGGAGTGAAGAGGAGCTAGTAGGCAGGGCCATGTCTGCTGTACTGTCCAGGTAGGTTGGAGACTGTGGGGATCAGCTGACACACAGCCCGGGTGATGTGACAGCCAGTGGTGGATTTAGAGTTAGTGGGACCCCCCGGCCCTGTGCTCAGCTTCATTTTTGGGACCCAGCCAAGAAAAAGAACATTCTCTCTTATCTCCCCCCGACCCCGTTTTTCATTCTTTTTTTCTTCATCCTCCTCCTATAAGTAATAGCAAGTAAATGAAAATAAAGTGAGATACCTTGATTGTTCCTGAGTCTAACTTATTTTTCCACAGACCACTTGAAAATCGCAGAGTGTCTCGATGGACCACTTAATGATCTTTCCAAATATTGTTTGTACCTTTAGCTAACTATCGTAAAGTGCTTTGGATAAGAGCGCCTTATTAAAAAAATGTAAACAGATGTTGGGGTGTGGGGTCTGGCCAGGAGCTAGGGTGAGGGAGGGGGCTCAGGGTTGGGGCAGGGGGTTGAGGTTTGGAACGCTTACCTGGGGCAGCTCCTGTTTGGTGCGAGGGGTGCAGATGGGGATGTGTGGGGGGGTGCAGGAGTCAGGGTGTCAAGGCTGGATCCCCACTTTGAACTTTAGGGTTCAAATGTAGGGGCCTGCATAAAAACTTCTAAGCTTATCTACCAGCTTAGCTTTGGTCCGCTGCCACCATCACAAGAATTCCCTCCCTGGGAAGCCTTGAGAAACCTTTCACCAATTCCCTGGTGAACACAGATCCAAACCCCCTTGGATCTTAAAACAAGGAGAAGTTAACCATCCCCCCTCCTTCCTTCCACCCTCCTTTCACCAACTCCTGGTGAATACAGATCCAAACCCCCTTGGATCTTAAAACAAGGAGAAATCAATCTGGTTCTTAAAAAAGAAGGCTTTTTTAATTAAAGAAAAAGGTAAAAATCATCTCTGTAAAATCAGTATGGAAAATACTTTACAGGGTAATCAAACTTAAAGAGCTCAGAGGACCCCCCCTCTGTCTTAGGTTCAAAGTACAGCAAACAAAGATACACACTCTGGTAAAAAGGTACATTTACAAGTTGAGAAAACAAAGTAAATCTAAGACGCCTTGCCTGTCTTTTACTTACTAGTTTGAAATAGGAGAGACTTGTTTAGAAAGATGGGGAGAACCTGGATTGATGTCTGGTCCCTCTCAGTCCCAAGAGCGAACCACCCGTTAAAACAAAGAGCACACACAAAAGCCTTTCCCCCCCCAAGATTTGAAAGTATCTTGTTTCCTTATTGGTCCTTGGGTCAGGTGTCAGCCAGGTTACCCGAGCTTCTTAACCCTTTACAGGTAAAAGGATTTGGAGTCTCTGTACACAGAGAGCTGTTACCCTTCCCTTTATAGTTATGACACGCCCCCCAAATCACAGATAGTGTTGGACGTTTGGTTCCACACTGGCTGTGATTTCTTCCTGGAGTTTTAGGAGAAAACAGAGTTAATAAGACACATGTACCTTTAGACATACTACTGATTATATAAAAACTAACAATATGTTTTATTCCAAGAACAATTGTTAACCAGTTAACTCTGGGAAACTTTCCCGGGAGAGTGCATCAGCCACTTTGTTAGAAGCTCCCGAAATGTGTTGTATTTTAAAATCAAAATTTTGGAGAGCTAAACTCCATTGAAGAAGTTTTTTGTTATTTCCCTTGGCGGTATGAAGCCACTGTAGCGCAGCATGGTCTGTTTGTAGTTGGAAACGCCGTCCCCAAACATATGGGCGTAGCTTTTCCAGCGCGTACACAATGGCGTAGCATTCTTTTTCGCTGATTGACCAGTGGCTTTTCCTTTCAGACAGTTTTTTGCTGAGAAACACGACAGGATGGAATTTTTGATTCGGTCCTTCCTGCATTAAAACTGCTTCCACGCCTCGCTCTGACGCATTTGTGGTTACTAGGAACGGTTTGTCAAAGTCTGGGGCCCTTAGCACAGGGTCAGACATGAGTGTTGCCTTAAGCTGGTTAAAGGCCTTTTGACACTTATCAGTTCACTGAACTACATTTGGCTGTTTCTTTTTGGTTAGGTCTGTCAGCGGGGCGGCGATTTGGCTGTAGTGTGGTACAAATCGCCTATAATATCCGGCCAAGCCTAAGAAGGATTGGACCTGTTTCTTTGACTTTGGAACCGGCCACTTTTGGATAGCATCCACTTTGGCCTGTAGGGGATTTATAGTTTCTTGACCCACCTGGTGCCCCAGGTACGTTACTTTGTTTTGGCCTATTTGACACTTTTTAGCCTTAACAGTTAGTTCTGCCTGTCGGATGCGCTCGAAGACTTTTCCCAGGTGCTCCAGGTGCTCTGTCCATGAATTAGAAAAAATGGCCACATCATTGAGGTAGGCAACTGCAGATTTTCCCAATCCCGCTAGGAGACCATCTACAAGTTTTTGGAAGGTGGCGGGTGCATTTCGCAACCCGAAAGGGAGTACATTGAATTCGTACACCCCTGCCTGGGTGACGAAGGCTGACTTTTCCTTAGCGGGTTCATCTAGTGGTACTTGCCAGTACCCTTTGGTTAAGTCTAAAGTAGAGATGAATTGGGCATGTCCCAATTTTTTCAATAGCTCATCTGTGCGTGGCATTGGATAGTTGTCAGGACGAGTTACAGCATTTAGCTTACTGTAGTCCACGCAAAAGCGTATTTCCCCATTTGGTTTGGGAACTAGAACCACTGGAGATGCCCATGCACTGTTAGAGGGGCGGATTATACCCATCTGTAGCATGTCCTGGATCTCCCTTTGTATAGCAGCTTGGGCATGAGGTGACTCCCGGTAGGATGGGGTTTTAATTGGGTGAGCATTACCTGTGTCAATGGAGTGGTATGCCCGTTCGGTCCGTCCTGGAGTGGCTGAGAAAATTGGTGCAAAGCTTGTGCACAGCTCCTTGATCTGCTGTTGCTGCAGACGTCCCAGGGTCGTGGAGAGGTTCACCTCTTCCACGCCACCATTTCTTTTTCCTTCGTAGTAGACACCTGCCGGCCACTCCGCGTCATCTGTTTCCTGGGCTGTAAACTGGCAAACGTTTAATTCTCTGGAATAAAAGGGCTTAAGAGAATTAACATGGTATACCTTAGGCTTTATGTTGGAGGTGGGGGAGGCTATGAGATAGTTAACAGCTCCTAGGCGCTCCTGGACCGTGAATGGTCCTTCCCACGACGCTTCCATTTTATGGGCCTGGAGCGCCTTTAAGACCATGACTTGGTCTCCTACTTTGAAGGACCGTTCTTTGGAATGTTTATCATACCAGGCCTTTTGCTCTTTTTGAGCATCCTTTAGGTTTTCTTTAGCAAGGGCTAAAGAGTGTCGGAGGGTGTTTTGTAGGTTGCTTACAAAGTCTAGAATGTTAGTTCCTGGAGAAGGCGTAAACCCCTCCCATTGCTGCTTCACCAACTGTAATGGCCCCTTAACCTTGCGGCCATACACAAGTTCAAATGGTGAAAACCCTAAACTGGGATGTGGTACAGCCCTGTAGGCAAAAAGCAACTGCTGCAACACTAGGTCCCAATCATTGGAGTGTTCATTTATGAATTTACGTATCATGTCCCCCAAAGTTCCATTAAACCTCTCCACCAGACCATTGGTTTGATGGTGATGAGGGGTGGCAACCAAGTGATTCACCCCATGAGCTTCCCACAGGTTTTTCATGTTCCCTGCCAGGAAATTA